GCCGATCAGCTGTAAAAATGGCTGCCCTGTGAAGCAGGGGTCCGGAAAACATAGGGCAGCCATTCTGCGAAGCCGAAAAAATCGCCATCTTGCGAACAAATGGTTCGCGAAGCATGGACCTGATCGCCATCCAGTGAAAATCCCCCATTGGAATTACTGTTTTGCGCATTGCTATAGGGATCACAAAAAGTCATTGTAATGCGGGTTTGTTGTTCAGCGGGGTCCTCATCTTGTGAGGTACCACTGTATTTTAGAAGTCAAGCAAATTAAATCATTTCAGACAAGGCTTTTGTGTCGAAGCCATCCTGTTGACCTCATTGATGGACCATCTGTGAACATTAAGCCCCCTCATCGGCCAGGATGCTCTGGCACCACAGCAAAGAGTGCTTATTTCTAAAAGCTCATGTGGATTTCCATTGCTGCACCACCACAGTATGAAAGCAGGATGAGGCCCAGAGATAGCTAGAAGGAATTCAGGACTACGCTCCCTCTCTCAAGAAACAGGCCCAACCCTGGATTTCTCCCCCAAGGTCTTCACCTTCACCAGGGCAAAATCAGAACAGCAACAGAGCTGACCCATTTTTCCTGGGCAGGGCACGGGGGTCCGCCCCCAAAAGGGGTGATTGTTCTCAACGTCCTCCCAAAACTCAGACCGTGGTGGGTGCATACAAGAGGAAGATGGAGCCTGTGAACCGGAATCTCTGGTTTTGAGCTGACTCAGCAGAAAGGAGGGCATGTAGAGGAGGATCGGCCGATCATTAAGGTAATAAAGATAATGACTAGCAGCTTATAGGCAGTGTTGCCCCTGCAAGGGACTTCTGCAAGATAGTCATTACAGATGGCATTTTCCATTCGGGTGACACAGACTAACATTATTTTAAAAAGCTGCTGCTTGGATGCAAATCTCTGCTTGGCCCTGAAAACTCACAGCAGAATGGAAATGGTTAACCATTCCTTAAACAATTCACTTCCCTCAAAAACCCTATTAGGGTCACCACATGGTGGAAGTGAGAGCACAAAACTGCAATAAATCCTGTGGCTCAGGTAAATTAGATGATGCTAATGGCTGTGGAACTGGTGGTGCCCCTACCTTGAGATCCCTTAGGTTGAACAAACTAAATACAAAACACCCTCCGATCAAGAATGAAAGCATTTCGTGGATTAGGTAGGAAGTTAAATGCCTGCCGTTTATATCTTTTAGGGAAGGAGGCAGAGAGCGCAAATTGTACAATAATGAAAAGAAGCAAATTCAAACGACTAGAAAAGCATGTTTCCCACATACATTTTGTCACAGAGACAAGAGAGTTCCAGCATGCTGCTACAGATATACCTATAATTGACGTTCAGCCCTGAAAATGCAGTACTATGATTGATGATGGGTCGTCAAATCAATTCTGACTTACAGCGACTCTAACCAGAATTTTCTGGGTAGAGAAAACTCAGAAGTGAGGTTTCCCATTCTCTTCTTCCTTCGGAGCCCTGGGATTGTGAAGTTTGCCCAAGGCCACATAGGCTGGTTCTTCTCCCAGGAGGCACATGGGGGAATCGAACTCCCAACCTCCACAGACAGAGTCCTCAACCACTGAGCTATCAGCAGCTCCTCAGACGGAGAGAGAGGATGTTGTGTTGAAGTAAGCAGGATAGGACAGAGCAGAGACAAGGTCCAAATGCCACTGAATTGAAAAGGACCAGCATTCAGAAAAGCTTTATTTTTAACTTCAAGTCCCATAATCCCCCAACTAGAATATGTAGAGAGAACCTCTGCATTCAGAGAAAAATGAGTAGGTATTAATTCCAAAAGAAGGACTGTGCTTTTTTTTTGTTTTGTTTTTTTTTGGAGCAGTAGGTTTCACTACTCATTACACAGGTAAAAATTTTCCTCTCTGTTGTGGGTCTAAGACACAACAGGGCTAGGAAATGAAATTCTGTGCGTCACAGCAGTCTCTGCCTCTTGGATTCTTACATCTAGAAGGCATTGCTTCTCTACCTTAGCGTGAGGAGATGGGAGGACACCAGTCTAAGACACAACAGGGCTAGGAAATGAAGGATTCTTACATCTAGGAGGCATTGCTTCTCTGCCTTAGTATGAGGAGATGGGAGGACACCATCTCTCTCTCTCTCTTTCTCTCACACACACACACACACATACACACATATACCAGAAAGCCCTTTACTTGAGTGGATGGCACTTATATATATTGCCTCCCAATATAAACAAAGGGGAAGAGTATTGAGAGAGAGAGAGAGAGAGAGAAGTGGCCATAGAAGTATAATGCAACAAAGGTAAAAACACAAAAAAAACACAACACACAGTTTCCTCCACTTTGATTCCCAACTGTTTTGTCTATGTGAAGGAGAACCTTCACGCAGAGATATATTCCTGTAGCAAACACATGTGAAGATGCCTCCTGCAAAAGAATGGCCAGGGAACCATCAACCACACATTCCCACTAGGCACAAGATTGTTTAACTGTCAGGACAACAACTCCCATAGTTCTTCTTTCTGGGAATTCCACTTGACACACCCATACCTGCAGATATGCAAATCTGGCTCGCCTGGAGAACAGGCCAAGCCCCATCCTAGATTCCTATTCAGAAAGGAAGTGGCCACACTGTGGGCTGGGAACTTCCTTTCTGAACAGGAAGCTAGGCCTAGGCTAAGCCCCAAAATGTCCCCAGCTAAGGCTTTTCTCCAGGCGAGCCACATTTATGGGTCTGTAGCTGTGCACGGTGTTTCGTGTCTAGCCACACTGGCCACTTGACCACGGAAACTGTCTACGGACAAACACCGGCTCTACGGCTTGGAGACGGGGATGAGCACCACGCCCTAGAGTCGGACACAACTGGACTAAATCTCAAGGGGGAATCTTTACCTTTACCAAGGTGTGCACCCATCGAATGGGACTCCCCAGACAGAGAATTACAGGAGTTGTGGTCCAAACAATGCAAAAATGTGATGCTTCACCATCACTTTCTTACCGTATTTAATCTCCGGAGAGTATATGTCATTCGCATTCCCAGAATGCAATTCGGTCGCACAGCAGTTACTGTTGCTGCTGCTGCTGCTGGTCGTGGTGGCGGTGGTGGTGGCAGGCGGAGTCAAGGCATTGGAGTGGGTCTGGCTGGGCTGAGGTGGCGCTGGCAGAGTTTGAGGCGCCTGGCAGGTGCACCCGGTTTGGGAGAGGCCACAGGGCTGGCCAGCGCCCAGACGGAGGCATTCCTCCAGCCAGCGGCACAAGACGCTGCAGGTGAACTGGCTGGAGTTGTTGTTGTTGATCAGGAGGACTTCCACGAAGCGGAACTCCACCGCCTCGGGCCGCAGCAGGCGGCTGGCGGCCTCCGGCTCCTCGGCCAGGCACAGCTGCACGAAGTTCTTGTCAAAGTGGTAGAAGGCAAAGGGTCCCCCGCCTTGGCAGAGCTCCAACCTGGCCTCCCCTCTGTGGTGGTCCCCGTCCTCCTCCTCCTCCTCCTGGGGCAGGGCCGTGGGCTCCGGCTGGCTGCAGGTGTCGTTGGAGAGGTAGTGGTCCAGCGGCAGGACCATGGGCAAGTAATGGGCGCAGACCTGCTCCTCCCGGTTGAACCTGAGGTACAAGGAGTACTTGGTGGGGTCGGGATTCTCCAAGGTCCACGAGCAGCCGGTGGAGACGGTGGGAAAGAGGTCCTTCAGCGAAAAGGAGCCGTAGAGAACCCCGGAGGCCAAGGCGGAGCAGGCGCTGGGAGCTGGGTCGAAGCCCTGGGAGAGCCACACGAGACACGATATCACAGACAGTAAGAGTGGTCCAGCTGGGTTCATCCTATGACATTTGCCCTGAGGGAGAGAGAGAAGAGGGATGATTAGGTGGTCGGCGTCACCAGAAGTCTTCTTCTAGGAAGGATGGAAATGGGCCTGAACTATGTGCAAAGTACCATCGATTCGGTCCTAAAGAATATCAGCCAAGCCCTTCTTTCCGGTCCTAAAGAATATCAGCCAAGCCCTTCCTTCCGTAATACAGTGGTGCCTCACTTGATAACGTTAATTCGTTCCAGCGAAATCACTGTAGAGCGAACACGTGGTATTCGTTCCAGCGAAATCACTGTAGAGCTAACACGTGGTAAAGTGAAATAAAAAAGCCCTTTGAAATGCATTGAAAACCGTTCAATGTGTTCCAATGGGCTGAATACCTGCTCGTCCAGCGAGGATCCTCCATACGGCGGCCATTTTCGGGTGCGTGTTAAGCGAAAAATGCCTCCTAAAAACAGCAGGGAGCCATTTTGAGCAGCCAGCGGCCATTTTGAAAACTCAGCGATCAGCTGTTTTGAGCGCTGTTTTGAGTGTCGTAATGCGAAGAATCGGTTCCCACAGCAGGGAACCAATCGTCGCAAAGCGAAAAAAACCCATTTAGACCATCGTTTTGCTATTGCAATTGTGATCACAAAAACATTGTCATGAAGTGGATTCGTCGTTATACGGGGTAATAGTTAAGCGGGGCACGACTGTACAATTTCTGAGCCTACCCAACTAAAAATAAATAAATAAATCATATATTTTGGGTACCTGTCTGGACAGGAATTACAGCAGCCCTTTTCTGCTCCCGGCTTTAAAACTGCAGAAGAACTATATGTGATCCAGAAGCCGATAAACGTAACATTCGGGAGCTCAACCCGACCGTCAACATCCCCACTCGTTTTGCATCCTGGAAGAGCCGCCATGTGTGAAAGAACTGGGGGACGGTTTCCCTTCTAGAAACACAGATCCAACCCTTTGGGCTTGCCTTCCCCTTTCAGGAGCCAGAACCATCCTCCCTCCTGTCGCATTTTCCTTTCAATCTACCAAGCCGTTAAGCAGGAACAAGCCCGGCCACGGGTAAGAGCTGTTTATAGAGTCATAAAGAGGCAGAGCTCAGAGTCGTAAACCCCCACAGGGTACAGAGTTAGGGAACCAGGAGATTTTTTTCCAGCCGGGTCTGGAGATGGAAACTGAATGAGATTTCCAGCTGTGCTACAGACACAACAGGGTTTGAGCTACCTTGGAAGGGAGAAAACACAAAATATTTTATAGAGAAGAATTTTTTTTTAAAGGATTGGTAAACCACTGCTGAGTACGTTGTACCTGGAAAACCCTGCAAATGTGTCAGGGAACCAGGAGATTTTTTTCCAGCCGGGTCTGGAGATGGAAACTGAATGAGATTTCCAGCTGTGCTACAGACACAACAGGGTTTGAGCTACCTTGGAAGGGAGAAAACACAAAATATTTTATAGAGAAGAATTTTTTTTTAAAGGATTGGTAAACCACTGCTGAGTACGTTGTACCTGGAAAACCCTGCAAATGTGTCAGCATAAGTAAACCACTGCTGAGTACGTTGTACCTGGAAGAACCTGCAAATGTGTCACCATAAGTCAGAATTGACTTGATAGAACATGATTATTATTTATTAAAAAGTCAACCTGTTTTCCGTAATCTTTAATTTAACTCTCTCTATTTGTAAACCTGTCTGTCCAATGTGTGCAAAGTGTTAACCACTGCTGAGTACGTTGTACCTGGAAGAACCTGCAAATGTGTCACCATAAGTCAGAATTGACTTGATAGAACATGATTATTATTTATTAAAAAGTCAACCTGTTTTCCGTAATCTTTAATTTAACTCTCTCTATTTGTAAACCTGTCTGTCCAATGTGTGCAAAGTGTTTCTCTCTGTTTTTCCGTAATCTTTAATTTAACTCTCTCTCTCTCTATTTGTACACCTGGCTGTCCAAGGTGTGCAAAGTGTTTCTGTCTGTCTGTCTGTCTCTCTCTCTCACACACACACACACAAACACACACACACACACACAGAGAGAGAGAAAGAGAGAGAGAGAGAGAGAGAGAGAGAGAGAGAGAGAAGACAGCTGGACTGCAATTTCCATCAGTCTTAGCCAGTACAGCCCAAGGTGAGGAACAGCTTCTTCTGCATTATTAGCTAATTAAAGATAAAATTAAGGACACTTATGGCAAGACAATGACTATTCCATGTTTTGATGACTCACAGCTACTAGCTGCTGATCATGCCTACCAGAAAACGTAGGAGCTAGAACTAGTGTTTGTGCTTGTATAGACAACTGGGAAGTTATAATCTGGACAGATGGATGATTGCTTAGTGAGTTTGGTAACTGACTGTGGAGCCAGAGGCTGGGAGTTTGGTTCCTCCCTGGGCCTCCTTGGAGAAGAGCCAGCCTGGGTGGCCTTGGGCCAGCTGCACAGTCGTCCCAGGGCACCCCAGGAGAAAGGAAAGGGCAACATGCACATTCTCCACCTACGAAACCCTGAAAAGGGTCACCATATGTCAGAATTGACTTGACAGCACACCCTTGTTGCTGTCACTCAGAAAGCAACTGAGGGTGATGGTGGAAATGCAGGCTGTAAGATCTTCAAAAATTGCCCTGCAGGAGGTATCCGGAGGGTCCTCTCCAAACACACGCCAGCTCTGAATTGTGAGGATGTGCTTAGCCAGAATGTTTCTAAGGTGGAAAGAAATAAATATAAGGCAGACATCTTTCTCAATGAAACAGGAGGGGAGGGGGTCTGCAGCTCCTCTGCTCCACCCAGGCACCTCCCCATTTTGAGGCCAGCCATTCCATCTTAACTGAGCCATCCCCTGCTTCCAGAGCCCTTAGGAAGGCAGGCCTTGAGTCAGGGAATGGAAATTCGGAAGAGGCAAACATGTGTTGCAACTCTATCTGTTGTTATTCTGGAGAGAAGCCAACACACCCAGCCCCGAGCATGCAGGCCCTTTCCAGACACTCCTCTGTGGGAAGAAGGAAGTCCAAGACAGGCGGGCTCAGCATGTCATCACTATGGCTGGCCTTCTTCCGTCTCCTTCCAGAGTAGATCGATCCCACCAGAACTGAAGTTTGACCAACCTGACAGCCAAATGGTGGCCACCAAAAGTACCAGCTCAGCTTCTTCCTGATGTTAATGGGAAAATGTAGTCCATGCCCACAAGAGAGATCTCTTGATGCTGCAAGCCAGCCAAGGGCAGGGATGCAGGGCATGGATCCACCTTGAACCACAGAAGGGAGGAAGCAGAAGCAAGAGTTTCAGCTCCCGGTGGGAAGAGAAATGCAAGTCCTCTTAAAGAAACTGAAGCGTGAGGAGTGGACAAAATTCTAGCAATCCACAGAGGGATACAAAGAATGATTCATCTGCAGGGGGAAAAAGTGTTTGTGTGATTGTTGGCACAGCTAGAAAGATGGATCTGCTTACAGACACACTTTTAGCTCACTCTGAATTATGACTCTTATTGATCCAACAGAAACAAGCCCTTTCTCCCTAGATCCCTGGTCAGTGCTTAAGGAAAGAACCCCGATGGAGCCTCTGTGGTTATCTGTGTGGGAGGGAGAGGCTGAGCTCTCTTGCGTAAAGGTAGACACCAAAGAATGATCTCTAATAATCTTAGAACTGCAGAGCTGGAAGGGACCCTATGGGTCATCCAGTCCAGCCCCTCCCAAGGAGGCACAGCGGGGGAATCGAACTCCCAACCTCAGGCTCCACAGCCAGAGGCCTCAGCCACTGAACTAGCCCAAGCCATTGGCCAGAGAGAACTGCTAGGATGTACATCAAAAGGAAGGCACCCAGTGGTGGCTTGTGGCTCCGATGTCCGTGGAGATGATGAATCCGGTCTGGGTTTTCTTCGGAACTTCATGGGAACTATCTAAGCCATACCCCAAACAGGTATCTTGGAGAGGAACTATAAAGTTTGCACTAAAACCTGTAACGGGTTCACCATCCCAGTGGCATTGGAGTTGTCATCTCCTTCTGAAGGCGCCTTTCAGTTCAGGAAGAGGTTCAGCTAGCCATCCATGGCCTGCCTCTTGAGCTTCCATGGAAGAAAGCTTGTATATCGTACTGCAGCCCTCCATTTTAAAAAAAGGTATACAGAAATAGATCTTAAGGAAAATGATTTAAGAATGTGCATATTCTGCTCAGGTCTTGGACAAGCAAAGTTCATACAGTATACGTATAAAACTTAGCATGAAAGGATGGGTTGATTATCCCACGGTCACTAACTTAAATACTATCTTTTGGTCATTGTAAGCCACGTTGGGTCCTTGTTAAGGAGAAAGGTGGGTCAGTGGGTCAGTTAAATGAATAAATAATTTTTTTAAGACAAACTTTGTCGTCATCATTGCTAGAAGCTGACCGAGAGTAGCAGGAAACTCATCACCATCACAGCTAGCCAGCGAGGAGAAGAAAATCATTGCTTTCCACCCTTGCGTGTAAGCACGAGGCAAGCTAAGATATTCTGTTCCTCATCTGAACTGACTGGTAAATGCTTTCCATCCACAGGCGTAGATCCCTTTCACTCTTGCCATCACTGTTCCTTCTACGCAGACCTGGTAGAGATGAAAGATTCCCCCCATCTGCCTACAAAACATTTTCCCAGCGTGGAGTGGTGGTTCCTTCCCATGGCCAATGGGCTTTGTTGTGCTTTCAAGAGGATCCCTAGTGACACAGACCTCTTACACCGAAAGAAAACAAAGCCACCAAGTTGGCAAAACCTGCAAACTTTTACAAACGGGCTGGGAGAGGGCCCCAGCGACCCAACTGGAGCTCAGATATGTCACATTTCTAGACTACAGATCCCAAAATCCCCCAAACTGTGGACTGAAATATTCTCAGAGTTGTGGTCCCAAAACACAATATCACACAGCTTTGCTCTGAATTCAGTTTCCTCCCATACACCTAAATGAACTGTTGACTGGTCAGCCAACGTTTAGGTAAACACCATAGATTCAGTAGGTCTACTCCAGTTGGCAGTTGGACCGAGGCCTCTGTCTCAACCCTGCAAGCTC